ACAAGTAAGACATGTAAATATTGTATTCATTTATCCTCTATTTTTCTGAATATATAATTAAGTATATAGTATCATTTTTAATTAATCATATTATATGATCATGATTTTATAGGAACATGAATTACAAAATGGAGCTGAAAAGTGGATAACAAATGCATTAAGCTACATGCGTTCATCTTGCCCTACTAGCCTCAAGATATTTTTGAAATCAGTAAGTGTGGCAGAAAAAGATTCAATTGTACATACTCTCATTATTGTTCATAATAATGATATATTGGGTATTAGTTATATTAAAAAGAACATTTTTCTGATGTGTTTTAGATCAGGAAAGGCAGGGTACAAAACATTGATCAATGCCTTTGTCGAGATTATAACATTTCCTGCCACTTGGGAAGAAGAACTTTTGGAAATGATTTATATGAGGTAAATATTTTGATTTAACGTACGAAGAATTTATTAGAGTTTTGTATGGTTAAGGAATTAATAATAATTTATTTTAATTAAAAATCATGTAGGAGATATATTAGAAATTACGGTAGAGATACATTAACAACTTTTAATATTTTTTTATATTTACAAAACGCTTGTCATTGGTTAAAATTTGCCTTATTTTTACTCTGCAGTTAGGCCATAGTCATTAAGTTTATTGTTATTTTTCGTTTTCTTTCACTTTTTTTTTTTGTTTCCTTTATATCCTAGGAAATGGTACGTAGTATGTGATAGAATATTAATATTAGTGCATTAGGATATAGCAATTAGTTTTTGAGTTAATCATCTATATACTGTCAGTGTAAAATTTTTTTACATTGACAATCAATTATATCTTTTAATTGTGCCATGTCACTGTTAAAAGTAAATGTGTTTACAGTGACATGACACAAATTAAAAGATATAATTAGTTGTCAGTGTAAATTTTTTTTTACACTGTTGTATAGGTAATTAACTCTTAATTTTTTATGACTAATATTTGCCCATTCGTTTAACTCAAAATGTGTGCACAGGGTTCAAGAGCAAAATTGATTGATAAAGATAACAAGCCCAAGGTACACGATAGTATCTTATATATGTTCTATCTTTAATTATGGATATATATTTATATATTAATATGATTTTAAACGTATGGTTTTTCGTTTTTCTTTTCTCATTTTGTTAACTAGTGGGAACCTTCAAAACTAGAGCTGGTTAAAGAAGAAATAGTGGATCAATACTTTGAGAACGTCAATGATGATGAATGGGAATGTCTTCGATTTCCTGATAGATCCAATTCTCAAATTGTAAGCAGATTATAAGGTTTAATGGAGCTCATTCTGCTAGTTTAAACTTAAGAACTATATGTAAGCAATTTGAGAATAAATTAAGTGAAATATCTATGTTATTTCAGGGTAAAGGAATTGATGTTAAATTTAGTTCTAATTAAGTAAAATAAAATATCTGTAGTATGTGATTTGGCAGTTTGAGGTTTAATTAGCTTCTCTTTAATTTAATATTTTTATATTTTTCCTTGTGTCTTTTATCATTTTGGTATTAAAAAATATTCTCTAGTTTTTTTTTCTCCCGACATGGCATCTCACACTGAGTCACTCATCATTGACAATCTAAAACTGAAAATTTCTTATTTTTAAAAAAATTGATAGTTTTTTTTTTTTTGCTTTTTTTCTTCATATAATGACATTTTAGATAACTTTAGTTAAGACGGCGAGGATGAATTAAAGACTTTTAAGTTTCATTCTCTTACCTTCCTTCTTGCTCTTAAGTAGTGTAGACACCTAATTAATTTTGTCTGAACCAACAAAAACAATGAAATGGACGTCTATTATGAAGAGGAGAAGCTCCTAAAGCATGAATACAACTCGACATGATAACAAGGAAGCTTGAAGCCCGAGAAAGTTCGATTTAGTAGTCCAGAACGGACCGTTCTGAAATCGGAACAGGTCGTTCCCAAACCGGAACGGGCCGTTCTAAACTACTAAAAAGGCTTATCAACCCTAGCTTGGAACGGGCCGTTCCAACACAGGTTGTTATGAGTAAAATTTGAACCCAAAACAAGTTATTCCAGATTCAGATTTTACCCGTAACGGACTGGCCCAAAACAGGTCGTACCGAATCCAGAATAACAGGCTGTTCTGGTCAGTTCTGACGTCTATAAAGACAACTCAGGCACTATTCTCAGGGCTTGGGAAATTTCGTATAAGACTCCTTTGAGCTCGAAAATTCTCTCTCTCTCCCTTCTATTGCATTTCTTGAGATTTGTGAGGCATATTGTAGGTGAATGGCTGCCACAAAGCACCTAAAAATCTCCATATTTGAAGATTCAATAGAGCTCGTTTAAGAGGTATTTCAGTCGATTTTCTCTTCTTTTCTCTATTCCTTTATTTCAAATATTGTTATAATAAAAGCAATCATGTAGACGTTTTAGGATTAACCGTGTAATTTAAATTTCAAGCATGTAAATAGCAATTCATAAAGGGGATTAAATGTTTATATTATTAATTCTTACCATGCTAACTTCATCATAAGGGTACCGATTAAGGGCGTTGTAGGGGTGCTTAATACCTTCCCTAATTGACCCCCGAACCTAATTCTGGTTATCAAAGCCATTATTGGATCTTTAAAAACCTTTTCTTTTCCCAATGTTTTGAGTAAAACATTGGTGGCAACTCCAAGAATCTATTTTCAAAACCATTAAGCAAGGATTAGTATAGTATCCGAGCATTCCTTAATTAATGAGATTTTTAAAAGGTTGTCTAAACCATAGGTCACAAAATCGTAAATTTTCGGGTTGCGACAAGTAGTACTCTCACAATAATTATATATATAAGTAAATTTTTTTATTATTAAATATATGTAAATTTCAATTAAATTAATTTTATCTAATGTTCTTAAACTAAAAATATTTTTAATTGAGGCAATAAATAAAAACACTATTAACTAATGTACAAAAAATGCTCTCCTAAAACAAACACATTTTATATATTTTATTTTAACTCTTGTTAATTTTAGTAATTTTTTTAACTATTATTTCATTTTGTGTAACTATATATATAATATTATACGTAATATACAAGTTATATTTAAAATTTATGTAATCCAATTTCTAAGAGCAACTCCAATGGGAGTTGCTTGTCTCATGAAGAAACTCAAGTCCCGGTTTCTTGTCATTGGAGGACTCTGAAGTGGTAACATGAGTTGCTTGAAGAAGAGAGAGAGTTGTTTTCTCAAGCAATCGTTCCTTACCAGATTTCAAGCAGATCTTATTAAACATATTTGGGAACGTTTCAGAAATAATAATGATAAAATTTAATTTCGTCTAATGTTTATGTATTTACTATTGCTTTATTTTATTTTTAATATATACTTATTGTGTATTTTTCTCGTAATTTATTTTCTTTCATTGTAGTGCAACTATCCTTTTTAATAAAAATTTAAATTTGGTTCATAAATGATTAGAAAAAAATTCTAAAAGTTGAATTTCTTAAAGTTTCTTACCATTGAAGTAAATTTGTGTTTGAGTTGTTTAATGCTGACATGACACATTAGGGACCACTGTTTTCATTTTTCAATGCATGAAGCAACTCAAATGAATTGTTTCCATTGGAGATACCCTAAGAGTCTACATCATGAAACACAAATATTCATTATACTCACATAATTGTTAGTGTGAATCGTGATTAAAGATAAATTGATAATGCGAATCTCACTACAAGAAAAATACAAAATAGCGACCGAAATTTTTAGCGACCGAATTTGCGACCGACCAAAATAGCGACCGATTTAGCGACCGAAATTTAGTAGTCACTATTTTGCGACCGAATTAGCGACCGATTTTAGTGGTAGCGAGCAAATCGGTCGCAAAATCGGTCGCTGTTGAATTTTTTTTCATAAAAACATAGTTTGTGACGGAATTAACGACGGATATTGAAAAATTATTAAAAAAAATTGCGACCGAATTTAATTCGGTCGCTAATCCTAACTTTTAAATTTTTTAGTGACCGATTACATTTCGGTAGCAATATATAATTAAAACTTAGCGACCGAATTAAAATCGGTCACTAAATTTTTTGTATTAAATTTTGAACTGACGTGGCTTTCTTCTATGAAATAAATATATTTTCACTAAAATTACCCAACAAGATTCGATCCCTGGTCATTTGAGTGATGGGCCAACCACAATACTGCTGCACCAATTTGATTTCTTGGACAATCTGCTAAAAGGCCGAGCTGACGTCGCGTAGCACGTGCCCGACCTTGTTTTGTGCAGTGATGCCGAGCTCGGAGCTCGGCTTCGCGGTACAAACAGTACAAGTATCAATGCATGGAATTCAAAGGAATTGATATTGTTATAAAGGAATAGCTATAGTGATTGTAGAATTCATTATCAATACTCACGATCACGCCAACAACTTGACAAGAAAGAATTAGAACAACTAGAGGAGGACAAAGAATGATGAGCTCAGGGAGGAGAGAGAAGAATTAGAGGGAATTGGCCATACCATATGCATATCGTCTCATTCTCCAAAGCCTTCCAATAAAGTATTCCTCCTTCTCAGCCTAGTGCTTCTTCTCGTGTACCTTTCTCTCAGATCATTTGACACATGTTTCCTTGGTATTAAAAAATTTCCCATTTTTTCCACGTCATTTGACTGCTCAGTTTCATTTTCTCTTACCATGTTATTTTGGCTCCATGTTACAGGAGATGTCTAGAGACAAGTATGGATTAAAGTAACAAGTTTTCTCTAGAAAGATCTCATTTTTGACATCATCAAAGAGCTCTATGTAATTAAGGTTAGTTATTAGAAATTTTTGTAGTGAGTAACCATTTTTACACGTGTGTGACTCATAAGTGTTTGTCATAATTATTTTTCTTTAAATACTCAAAGTAGGGCCATTTGTAGAGGTTAGAAAATATTTTACACAAACTCTCTATGTATCAATCTATCTATTCTTACCAATGGCTTCTAATTTTGAGAAACTTGTGGTCAGCAAATAATAATAATAATAATAATAATAATAATAATAATAATAATAATAATAATAATAATAATAATAAAAAGTAAAAGATATGAAATTTTATCTTAAAGAAAGTGATTTAAGTTGGTTTTTTTTTTGTAGGTTGTAATTAGAGTATGCTTCCCTTATAAATCCTATTAGAAAAACTCCGGAGTTTAGTTGATCTTTTCACTAAAGTGATTGAGCAACCATTTTATGTATAATATGTTGTTTATGATCTTAATTTTGAAGGATATATGAATTTTGTTTAGATGAACTTTTCAAGAAATATTTATATAAGAAAAAAATAAGCTAAAAAATTAAATTACTCAAATAAATCATCTTTTGAATAAGGATTGTAAATTACTAATTAATAATTTTGCTTTGAATGATTTGGAAAATGAATCGTATTCACTTTTAATGATGCAGATACTACTCCACCTAAAAAGATGATAAATGACTTGTCACGAGATTTTTATAATGTTAACTTTTGTCCTGGTGTCATTGTGTACTTTGCATACAATGTCTCAAAAGGTAAGTTCATCTTATAAAAGAATAATTTTACAAAATTGAGTAAAACCCCCTAAATTCTCTTAAGATCTTACTTTTAGAAATATTTTATTGTCATTTATCAACATTATAAACAATCCACCGATAAAAAAGAAAACTTGCAAGAAACCCAAAAAAAGAATCTTCAAATAATCAAGGAAAAGACAAAAACAAACCCGACTCATGGTAACAAAAGAACCAGAAAGTCACAAAAAGTAAAGAAAAGAAAAGAATTGGTGTATAACAAGAAGATAAACCGCAACAATTTAAGTATCCATGTGGGTGCTCTTCCAAGTTCCAAGTTGGATATGGGAAGAAACAACCGCCCACGATAAATTATTTATTATAAAATCTAAAATATAATTTATATATCTATTTATATAAATTTTAAATATAGTTTATATATTCAAACGTAATATTTTTTTATACATAATTTATTAAAAAATTTAATTACTTATAATAGATATTTAGTTCGTATAAATTGTTACATAAGTTCATTAGTATATTTTAGGTTTTTAATTTAAAATCAATTTTGAAATAAACTAAAATAAATATTTAAAATTAAATCTGTAGACTTAAAATTAAGTTTATAGTGTATTTAAAAGATGATCGAAACAGAATAATATAAAACGTGGGATAGGAAAGAGAAAGAAAAAGAAAGTGCAAAGAAAACACAAAATTGAAGAATAAGAAGAGTGTTTCATTTATCTTGGATGGTGGTGGACTCGTGGGTGGTTGTTTCTTCCCATC